AAACCTGTGCGTGCCATCATTGGCATGAATCATGGCAAGAGGATTTCTAAGTCCATTGGCAACCTCCTCCAAACACAGCTGCAAGCAGCCGTCAGAGTCTGCTGCGGTGCGGCCCAGATTTTTAGTCAACCGTTCATTGCTCAGCAGATGAGGATAGCAGTAATCCGGGTCATCCAGCTCGAGGTACTGACAAAGTCTGCGCTGGTCATGCTCAAGTTCTGGAAGACGTGGATCGTCAGACAACAAGGTAAGAAAGGATCTGCACTTGGAATGGAATTGAGAGCAGTAGTCCGGGCAGAGTCCAGGTATGGTCCGTACGGGTGTGCTGGGGACTTCGGCATCAAAAAGGTGAGCAGTGTATGGAGAGCATTCCTGAAGAAAAGAAACAGGAAAAGTGGGGGATGTAACTGAATTGCGATGGCCTCAAGCAATGGATTTGACAAGTCATGTCTGCTTTCCCACATTCAACAGTCTGAGAAACCACAACCACTTTAACCACTTAAGTCCCCATGTGACCCCTGTTTGCTAGCAATTGCTATGGTGTTATGTATACTGTATATGTGTGTGTGTGTGTGTGTATATATATATATATATATATATATATATATATGGGGTGCACATAAGTTTTGCAGTTTGTTTCATGAGAGCACCAGGAGATTTAGTTTGGTGCTCACACTGCACATAGTGTGACTCATTAAATATAACTATAAAAAATTAATAATTAATAATAGTGATAATAGTATTACTGCACTTTATTTATTTTGTATTTTGAAATAAAATAATAAACAAAATCATAAATAGAGTGTGATAATACTGTTATATTTTTTAAATAAAAAGTGAATATTACATCAAAATACAATTATTTTATAATACACTTCAAAATACAATGATAATATTACATTTGTTCATTTTTATCAATTTTTTTACTTTTTTTTTATATGAATTTTCATTATTTTCAAACCTAAAATCAGCATGCTTTTATTTTGGCGGGTTGCCGTCAAGTCAACATATGCGCTGCTACTTACCGCTGCTGAGTGAAGCGCGTCAGTGAACGAAATGTAAGGTTTGCGTTTTGCTGTGAAACCGGAAGCACATAACTTTGATTTACGCATTCAGTTTGAATAGAAATCTTATACAGTATTACAGTTAGTCGATATATAACGGTGATAGCAACTGTCAACCATGTCGGTACGCAAATGAGCACAGTCTGGACCTATTTACGAAGCGCATTTTTTTGACGCGCATGCGCACCTGCGCACCACTTATGCGCACACCTGTATATATACAATGTTTTTAATAAGAAATTAATACTTTTATTGATCACGGATACATTAGTCAAAGACTGTTTTGGTTTCTACAAAACCATGTATTTTGGTTTCTACAAAAAAAAATTTTTTTTATGTTTTTCTGTTTTAAATATGCTCTTTGTGCGTTCATTTACATGACTGGTCATGTATATGGATTTTTTAACCATTGCTGGTTCAGTTTTGTTCATATTGGCCAAAATAGATTCCTCGTGATTACTAGTGACATTCATTTGGCCCCTCACCAAACAACAGTATTTCAACTCAATGGCAACGCTGGCAGGCAGACTGTTGGGAACCATCGTTTACAATTTATGGCTGCAAATTGCGGTAGGCTACGTGTTGAGAGGCGAACATATAATGGTTCGAGTACATTTACAAGCAGAAGAAAAAATGTGTTTCAAAAAAGTTTCAGATTTGTTTTGTCGACCAAACTTACCTGACAGAGCAGATCTTGAACATACGCCGCACAGTTCGAATATCCATAATAATCGAAGTTATCCATTATCCGATAGTATTTTGCCATCAGCTCTTGGTCTCTGGCATAGTCACAGCAGCCTACGTATTTATACATCTGACAGAACTGAAGTTCTTGTTGAGGCTGAAAGGGAGGTTTAAAATCCAAACACTGCGGATGCAGGAACGCAGGTGCGACCCAGAACGCCAACAAATAAAACAAAATAAACGGCGATTGCCATATATGGCCGAAAATATCGCAAAAGTACCACATTGCGCTCAAATCCTGGCGCCGAACTTCAGATACATGGAAGTAAAAGATATGCAATGGCGTGGATAGCCTACTCTGCGTGTGTCCTCGCTGACTTATGTAGTCGTGCACTTTGCTCTGATTTTAATTATCAACCATTTCCAAACAAATTCACGTCTTATTTACTGTGTAGCGACTAAACACGAATCGCAGATCGTTTGGACCTGCATCATACTAAACCACCTTCTCCATGTTTGAGTTACGAGACGTGTCTGACATCCTGAGCAGATGTGAGACAGACACGTCCAAACCGCAATTCTCCAATTGTAACTCATGTCTAACAGCAAACGTGTGTTATGTTGGAGTTCGCCATAGGAACGATCAAATTGGCTCATTTCCACAGCTTTAATGTGTAGTTTAACCCTTTAAAGCCCCCCTTTAGCCCAATACCTACTTAACATTAAATATGATCTTAACATGTTTCAAATTGCTGGAGTGAAATTGAACAAATCAACTTTCTGAAAAGTGCATGTCTGCAGAAAATATTAACTATATTTGTGTATTGAGTTTTCATGTCAGGTCAGACTAACACACTGACATAATTTGAAGAGAAAATAGTGGATTAAATTAAGAGTTGTTACATAAACCAAACAGAAAGTAAAGTCCCCTCAACAGAAAATGAGGCTTAGAGCACTAGCTTTGAATGTGTGGAAACAAAACGGTCATCTTTGTTCCATCTGTTCTTTCTGTTATGTAATCATAGTTTACCAGTAATATTTCAAACACTTGGATACTCTCAGTTTGTACTCATGTTCTGTTGAAATAAGCTTTACTTCCTTACTGTTTGGTGTGTCCTGTTGTATGTGTAAAAATAAAATAGTAATTCCAAAATAAAACGTGTTTTTCTACCTGCAGTTTTTTTTGTCTGACCTAATTAAAACCCAGTATAGTGAAATAGTTATATTTTTGAACTTTTCAGAAAGGTCATTATTATCCAGGATAGTAACATTTTTGTTATGTTTTGAGTCAGTGTGACCCCAAGTATGAAAATATGTAAAGCAAATAAGACAACTGGTTGTGCGTATAGTGTATGCACAAACCAGATATGAATGTTAATTGTATTTAATCATTTTTATATATATATCTGAATGAGCATGCAGACATGAAGCTTCAATCTTGTTTGCAATCAGTATTGTTTAAGGAGTTTGGGGTCTCTGAATGACTTTTTAACCCCTGTATTGGAAACATTTTAGAAACAAAAGTAGCTGCATACTGGTTAATGGCTGTTATTGTGCAGTTTGTCTGTTTCTAGTTTATTTTCCGGATGAAATAATAGAATCAGGTTATGTAAGCTAGAATTCCCACGGATACTATTGATATTATGTGTTGTTGTCCGCAGTTTATTTTTTCATTTTGAATGTTTTCTGCAAGCTCTTTGCGGTCTCTGGTTCAGTTCCAGCCATTATGTTTGTTTTTGTATGAATCTCTCATCAGTTCTTCTGCTATTTCAGCTGATTAATTAATGGCTATGTCAGTTGATACCATGTAACAATTACTGATGTGAGCGTCGAGTAATTTTAGACACTAGGTGGCGATGTGTTCACACCACGACCCTAGAAGACTCCAAATTCAGTACCCACGCAGATTAAGTGGGATCTGCTTTTAAAAGGCTTAAGTGATTTCTGATCATTTTATAATTACATTTTCGTATACATTCATTTACATTACAGGAAGTATTAACATATGAATAGACAATTGTCTGATGTTGCTCTAGTCTTTAATATCCACTTGAATGTTCCATGCTTCATTGTTTAAAAATAGGTAAAAAAATGTAACAGAAAGTTATTATTAACGAAATTAAGCCCCATTTGAATTCTCACAGAAAGCTTGGTGGCTATTTCTGGAGCTACATTCACATAAAAAATTATGAACTGCTTTTGGGACCAGAATTGTACTTATTTCCTATTGGCTTTACATGCCTACCACTCCTTTGCTTGTTTTCAACCCTATCATGTGTCATTCACGCATCTCAAGTGGTGCAAGCAAGTACTTAGTAGTTAGTAGTGCTATAAATACCACCACATTATTGGTTTTATACTTAATGTGTCAATGACGTTGCCAGTGAATAGTTGTACAGTTATTTTATGCTTATTAAACTATTTGTAATCTTATCTGGATGAGGTAATGTGTTTCAATTGGGGATCATGGTACTGAGAAGCCCCTGGGCAAATGTCTTTTGAGACCCCTTATTCCATGTTGCCCCTAGCAGCAGAGCCCTTATCTTACTTTAATCTACATGGGCATTGTAGCATTAAAAACTGTGAATGAAAATGTGTTTTGGTAGGCTTACATTAGACATCTAAAATAGTAGCCAGGGTCCTAGGCCATAGGCCCCTATGGACAGTTTGTGTTGTCTGAGAGGCCAAGGGGCCCTAATGAAATTAAATTCTGTATCTTATATCTTAATGTTAATTTACATTACATGTAATTTATTGTTGAGGTCGTGCCTGAAACTGGGTCGGGATGGATCAATCACAGTAATTTTATATTACTGGATAGCGCATTTCTAAAATAATTATAATGATGATAATAATAATAATAATAATAATAATAATGAGTGCAGATTTCCATTTTATTCAGAAATCCTTCAACATTCTTTTAATACTTTAACTTTTATGTGCATAACCAGCTTACAATATTGTGTAATCTGAATCTCCAAATTTCTTTAACGGCTACTCATATTCACACGTGCAAGTGGAAAAAACGTTCTTTCTTTCTTTCTTTCTTTCTTATTTATGTTTGTTTTCAGAAACACTCAGCAAGTTCCTCAATCAATGTCAAATACTATTTTAGTGCATTTTATCCCAATGTTGTGTTTCCTTTTTATTCAGGATATATTTCTCAGTGCAGTTTTTAAAGTATTTTATATATACATATACACATTTTCCCGTATACATGTCTAGCAGGACAAAAACGTGATATTTGAACGCAGCTAAAAATGTGAATTGGGCTTTTTGAGTCGTCAAGCGCCTCCTATAGGAAGAGCTAGTAACTTTAGCAGGCAATGCGGCGAAAGCGTCGCGTACTGAAGCGCAAGTACAGGCGCTTTTTCTCACCATTCATCAGCCTCAGCGGTTGGATGCGCGGCCGGAGAGTCACATCAAAGAGGAGATTCCAGCTGAAATAAACATGAAATAACGACAGAAGAGGAATTTATATCAAACGCGGCATAGTGTTTCCTGATCTGGGTCAGTTACGGTTTTTTCGTTGCGGAGTTCTGCTTTTATACCTCGAATAACTGGATTAATTTTAATTATGAGTTTAATATTGCTTGCTACGTTTTCGCGAAGGAGTGATTAGACAATAGTGACCAGATCTCTCGCGTCAGACCACTTTAAACGACAGGAATATGGCAAAAAATATTGTAGACGTCCCAATGGATGATTTAAGTAAGATATCGGATGAAGAACTGCTTAAATGTAGCAAAGAGGAGCTGCTTAGGAGACTCCGAAAAGTGGATAGTGAAAAGATCAACTTGATGGTGGAACACGGGAACATGATGAAGGACGTCAATCGGAGATTACAAGTGCATCTCCACGAAATACGGAGCTTGAAGGAGGTCAACCAGAAACTGCAAGAAGACAACCAGGAGCTTAGAGAACTGTGCTGTTTCTTGGATGATGATCGGCAGAAAGGGAAGAAGCTGTCCAGGGAATGGCAGAGATTTGGCAGGTACACTGCCAGTGTTGTGTGGAAGGAGGTTGGTATATTCCAACAAAAACTGAAAGACCTAGAAACCAACCAAGAGAGTATGATGAGAGAGAATGTGGAGCTAAAGGAGATCATCTTCATGTTGGATGATGAGAGGAATGGAGCCGGATCCAGGAGCTCCATAGACAGCCAATCCAGTCTGACCAATCTGAACGGAGGTTCTGCTACTGTGAGGGATGTTGGAGATGGGAGCAGTACCTCCAGCACGGGCAGTGCTGGAAGCCCTGATCACCACCACAGCCATATTCACAAACCTTCAGAGGGAAAGATCATGTCTATCAGGAGGTCTATGGATGATCTATCAACCAACCATATTCTCAGAAGCATACCAAATGGGCTCAACGGTGAGTTTGGACTCTTGGATTAATGGTTTTGTGGAAAGCATCCCATATTTCTCCAAAATGATGGTGTTGTAGCAGATCTAGTGCATGAAGAAAGTGCAGAATTTTATTCAGTCAAGAAAATGGTGTAGGAATATGGGTTGTGAATTAATAGAGTATTGGTATCACAAACCTGAAATGGTCTCAAACATGTAGAAGTGTTTTCTGCAAAGTAATAGGAAAATGAAATAAACATGAACAAAAAGTACTCTGTAAATCAAGAATTTGAAATAGTTTTAGTAATTCATAGTATTTGACTAATTTAAAGTGTAAAAAGTTAGGAAAAACTACTTTTCTTAACGTATCTTCGTTTCAGTGATAACTTTTGATAGATGACCAACAAAACATCCCTTTTAACTTGGAAAGTTTTATGCAGTTGTGTGCATTGGCATCCAAATATAGAAAAGGATGCTCACCATTTTATGCCAGTGAGTAACATGCAGTGATTGAGACTTCCAATGGGTTTCCAGGGAAACAGATTATACAGGCAAGTGTGGCTTCAGGTTTATTTTGAATATGTGTCAGTATTAACACATGGTCAACAACTTAAATTGAACAGACTGGAGCTACAGATGCTATTGCGCTAATTCCTTCATTCCAAGAAGTCAGGTCTAATGAGGATTTAATACACTCTTGGCCTTGTGACGTTGGTGCACACTGTCAGTTCTGTCAATAAAACATCAGATACAGGCATTTAATTCTAACAAATGGCTGAGAAACTCATTTGTAGTTGAAAATTATGTACACTAATGATTAAAAATAGCAGTCATTAGATCTCCAGTCTTCTGTGTCCTTCAGAAGTCATTCTAATATGCTTATTTGGCAAGAAACATTTCTCATTTCTTATTATTCAATGTTGAAAACAGCACTGCTTAGTATTTTGTGGAAACTGTGATAATTTTTGTTTTCAGGATTGTTTGATAAATAGAAAGTTCAAAAGAACAACATTTATTTGAAATGTAAATCAATGTCTTTCAGCGTCTTTGCTTATTAAGTCCCCCCCCC